TGCTTAGCTGGGCCCCAGAGTCCAGCCATGGGGGGGGGCACTTCTTCCCCACGGGCCCCAGCCACCCATCGATATACAAACACTCTGCCCATCCACAGGGACTGAGATCCTCTGGCCTCTCTGGCTCCAAGGTGCCAACGTGGAGCGGAAGATGAGACAGCCAAAATGAGACTGCCAGCGTCTCTCCTAAGGCCAACGGAGTATTTTTCTCCAAGTGCCTGCCGGTATTCAAGGGCCTGCATGCATTTACTCCTGGGACTGACAGTCCGAGCCGTGGACGCTGCTCGGAAGTCCCTCCTGCGACTCTCTCAGGCCTCTTTTCTCCAGGGTCACTCCTGTTATGCGACCCTCACAATCCCCCTCGCTCGCAGTCCTCGCTACTCCTTTGTCAGCCCCCCTCCTCTGGCCTCTAGGCCACTGAGTTGACCCCCCATCTCCCCTGACCCCCCGCCCGTCTCATGTCGTAAGGATGGGAGGGGGGCACTTTTGCTGTCTATGGAACACCAACCCAAGAGCAGGCTACAGCTCCCAAAGTGCTTGAGGGGGCAAGGGCAGCGACCCCAGAGGCTCACCTGTGGCACTTGGAACAGGGTTCCCATGCTGCCTTCGCTTGGCGTCCCCCAAGATGTCAATGACAAGCGTTGCGAACTCGTGGGCGTTAAAGCGGGCTAGTTTCTGCCTTCCCTGGGAACATGAAGGAGTGCAGTGTTTCAGAGGCATTCGGGGCAGACATCTAGGGAAGTGTGCATGCAGGGCAACTGCTTCTCCCCACCCCCAGAGCGCAGAGATCCAAGGCTTCCCAAGCTAGCCTCTTCTGGCAGTGGACGCGTTCCCCCCTTCCCCTTTCTCAACTCTGGAACGCTGGCCCTGTTTCTACGGCCGACATCGGCATCCTGGCATGGGACGACCGGCAGCAGAACTCCAACCCAACTGGATGGGGCTGAAGCCGATCTACGGATCTGCAATTCAGGGCCCAAATGAACGATGGCCGCCGTTTTTCAGCAGGGCTGGGAAAAAACTCAGCTGCCCAAACATGTGGAAAGGGGCATTCATTTCTCTCCCCGTAATTGTCAGAGCCCAGAAAAATCATGGGGGAATTGTACCTGGTTTCTTGTGGAAGAGTACTCTGGGTTGACAGGAAGGAAAGGAACGATGGTTGTCTCAGTGACCAACGTGCTGTGATTCTGTGTCGCAAGCCATACTGTTTGTGCAAGAAGAGGGCGAGGTCATGGGCGCGTGGGCTTACTCTCTGCACCCAACTGCCCTTCCCCACATCCCACCCTTGCTCCTCTCCAACAGAGGAGGCCCTTCCTCCATTCTAACATGCAGCCTAGCTTAATTTTTATCTCCACACAATCACGTGGCCCCCCCTTAAGGACAGCCAATGACGGGAGTAGTTAAATCCTAGCACAGCAACACCAAAAGGGGGCAAGGGGGGCCGAGGTGGGGTGCTGGGCACTTGCACACTGTTCCCCTGGCCTGTGGGGCAGCCCTGCCAGAGGAAAGCACCTGCGTCTGTCTCCCGCCTGTCCACCTCGTCGTAGACGTCCATGGCAAGCTCTTCGAACAGGTGATTGCTCAACTAAAGAGGGAGGGAAAGACCAAACACTGAAGCTGGGCCTGGCAGGAGCTCCTGGGGACCGAGGCAGGGCTGGCCCTGGCTCCTGCGGTCCCTGGCTGGAGGCTTCAACAGGAAGCCCATAGCCCGCAAGAGCGGCCACCCCCTCCGCTTGGAAAAACTGAGGGCCAGGCGGGTTGGGGTTCTGAACTGCCTTCCAGGTGGGGCAGGGGCCTCAGGCAGAGAGGGGGGCCAGCGGACGCAGCTCTCCCTTTAGAAAGTGGGCTTTCCTCCTTCCCAGGTCAAAGCGGAGAAACAGGCAGACTTACCAACTGGAGTTTCTTCTTGGCTGCTTTGGCCAGCGCTGACACGTCTAAGCTGCTACGGAAAGAGGGAGCCCGTCAGAACATTTGCCCTTTTTCCTTTGAAGACCTCAACCTTGGAAGCAGAGCTAGGCGACGGTAACTAAGAAGGCGTGCGCGCACGTGTGAATGCCAAGGAGACACACAGGTGTACTCGCTCTTTCTTTCTTGAAATCCACATCCTGCTTTTCAACTGCTCTGTTCTCGAAGAACCTCAAAATGTTTAACGATTCGAGCCTCTCTACCAACAGCCTCTCCCTACCACCCGCTCTACCTACTTTGGTCTTTGCTACAGAGAAGCTTGTGCGGCGATGCTTCCCTGTCCACCGAGGCTTATCTACCCACCCTCAACATTCTGGGAAAAGGCCCAGAACTGCTGTGCTTGAGGCAGGACCACCAATCGTCCAGATCCACACCTTCCCTGGGCTCGTTTCCCCTTAAAAACTGCTTTGCTGGGTCACAAGAGGAACGTGGAGACAGGGCAAAAAGGAAGATGCGCTTTGGGGAAAATCCAAGGAACCGCTTCCATTCCAAGCCCCCCAGAGGATGCCCCAACACAGACACTGGTCACACAGGAGGCTCCAGGAGCCGCCCCAGCACACACGCAACTCAAAGCAGCTCTTGACTTCGTACTGCTAGACCATTAATTTAAACGAGGTGAGCCATTTCATCTTTGTCTGTCTGTCTAGTCTCCTCTGGCTGCTGCACAGGCAGCTCATGGTGGGTGTAAACAAATAAAACTGCACAAGCAGTAGGAGCTCACCTAAAAGATGTACTTACAGCTGCTTTAATTCCCAAGATCCAGGGTTCAGTAACAACGGGAAGAATACCGTGCTGTTCTTACTAGCAGCTATCGTTTTAAATTGTGCTTATTAGCGACGTTACATTTGCTCAACCCAGCCTAAAGGACTGAAATAGCCCTGCCGGTCTGATACTGCTGCTTATCCTGGTGAAGGATGATGGGCCTGTGACCAACGTACCAGACTTGGTTTCGTTTTCGGCAGCTAACCGAATGCAAATTGAAGACGCAGCACGGAAACCAAAAGACAAACCGCTCGGGGCGCTGCTCTTGGACAGCTTTACCAAAAAGTCACAGGGTCCCAATCCAAATTCTTACCTGTCTGCCATCTGAGGTATAATGAAATGCTGCCTGCTTTTGTGATCTGAAAAGAACATTTCAAAAGAGCATCAGGGCTGGGAGGAGCAGGCGTTCTCCGACTGCACATCCCGCTCAGCGGGGCTGCCAGCGCCATGGGCTGCCGGACAGCCGGACCTCTTTGCGGGCAGGGCTGGCAGGAGCAGCACCGCTTGCGCTCCCCACAAAACGCCAGTGTGTTCCCAGAGGCAGAGCCTGAAACCGGCCAGTCTGCAAAGGGCTGCCTACGCGTTCTCTTGGGGGTTGGGAAATGAACCCTGGGACGGGTTTAGCTGCTTTCCCAGACTATCTCAGGATAGAAGAATGAAGGCCAAAGTATGACTGTGGCCAAGCTGCTGGAAACACGTGCATGGTATTCTGTGTGCTGGGAAGCAGAGATAACGACTGGAGTAAGGAATTAAGGAATTCACTACTGGCAGACTAGAAGATTCTGAACTGCAGCACCACCCACAAGGGAGCAGGATCCTGGTTCCCCCACCTCCTTCTGTTCCCACACCTGCACAAGCCTTGGCCAAACTGTTCTTACAGCCCTGCAGATTAACGGACCAGGGCTGATCTGGTCACTGCCCACACAACCTACCTGCCTGCCTGGACTGAGGGGCAGAGAAAGGGGGTGGAGTGGGAACTCCAGAGAGGAAAAATGGGGCCCCACCAACACCAAACATCCAGTTACCCGGTTTTCTGCCACAGAGATAAAAGGCCAGCCGGTCGGTGAGCTCGTACTGTATTTCCACCAGCCGCTCGGCCAGCTCATGATGGCCTCCTTGCCTAACAGAGAAAAGAGTCAGAGAGGCATTCAGAATTCGCTGATGTGGGGGTCTGAGGCAAGAAAAAAGAAG